GCTAATTGTTAACATAGACCAGGTGTGCTAATTGTTAACATAGACCAACTGTGCTAATTGCTAACATGGACCAGGTCTGTTGATAGTTAGCATAGACAAGGTGTGCTAATTGCTAACATGGACCATCTGTGCTAATTGCTAACAGACCAGGTGTGCTGATTACTAATGTAGATCAGGTGTACTTATTGTTAAAATAGACCAGGTGCGCTAATTTCTAATAGGGACCACGTAAACAGTAGTTTTGATTGTTGAGAAAAACAGTGTTTTTATGCTGCAAAAAAAAAAGAAAAAAGAAAAATCATTGTAATGTCACTTTAATTGATGATATGTGACTTATCTGTGCTGCTGATTATCCATGCTGCTGATCTCATGCTGCCGTATTATTCATACTCTGCTCACCACAGACTCATGTTTAGGCTGCTGTTGTTGCACCGTATTGTTTTACATTATTAGTGTTTAGCGTTTATCTTATCTTTTAGCGTACTATTTGGCGTTTGATTAGCGAATATCTTAAATCCTTACTTAGTGTTTCTTGTTATACTTTATATTTTGCTACTGTTGGGTGTATCTGGGACCCTGTACACAATTTCGTTCCACCTTATGTACCACATGTGGTAGAAATGACAATAAAGATACTTGAACTAAAGTATTTGTGCTAAAATGATGGATCCACGTGCATCTGTCGTGCGAAAGGATAAAAGACCTCTCCAAAGCAAGCACCCGGGCTGACTATCAATCCCAGCCTGCCCCTGGTCATCAGCATCGTCACCCCTCAGTGACTTATCTCTGTTGAGCATCCTCATGGGGGCTGCGGTTTATCCTAATGTCCTTTGGGCCCATGTGGTCAGTGACATTTAACTCCTTAACCAGTGAACTCTTATAATTGACATGATCTGTTCTGTGGTTGCGCAGCCACATATGACAAGCACGATTACAAATATGATCGAAATAGATGTTCTGAGTCCACTGACCACCTCAGCCCTTTCAGACACACCCTGGGATTGGTTCTGACGTAACTCTAGTTAGAAGAGAATGATTTGTAGCTGCACCTTTACTTTTCTACTTGATAACTGACTCAGAATCCACAGGTATGGCCAATTGCTATTTAAAAAAAAAAGTGATCCATTAAAATTGATCAACCGATTAAATGGTCTTTCCCTCCCTAATCAAAATTTATATTTGGCTCATTAAACAAACTGCCTCAAAGTCTATAAACTCAGTGAGTCATAGCATCATATTCACTGAGCAAACATACAGATCAAACTGTGGGGTTTTATGGCTAATGGCCAATAAAAACAGGACACATACACAACTTTATTTGGTTTTAAGAAGATTATTTATTTGTTGCACTCAAATAAATCATCATCACGATGCTGATCTTGTCTGTGTGAGGCATGCGATGAATCGCAATTCAGCAAAGATTCCTGTGATATGTTTTTTTCCCTAAAGTGATTTTTTAAAAATCTAATACAGCTGTAACAAAAACAAATGTGAGAAGTCATTTATTTTAAATATTAATAAAAGACAATGTAATGCATTAAACAGGGACAGGGTGAATTTATAAACTGGATACTGAGTAGGTTTGAAGTATTCAAAGGCAGCAAGTACTTTTTATTGTACAGTTCACATTATACAAGGTACACAAAGGTTTATTATATATTTATCTGAAGAAACAAGGAGGAACAGGACAAAAAAGCTCTAAAACATTGAAAACATTAAAAAAGGTTCACAGATCCTTACAGCAACGTGGGACTGGATCATAGTCACAAAGATATCAAGTGTAGCTCACAAGCTTATATGCTGCTTTTACTTACAAAATGTGATTATCTTCATTAAACTAAATACATCTAATCAATGTTTCTAGTCAAGATTATTGTTTAAAACTGAATAAACATCCAGGAAAGTTTCAGACTGCTGAGTGAATACTGCTGCCACCTGCAGTCAACATCACATCAGCGGTCCTGCTGTGAATTTGGTCACGAGTCGCCCTGTACATGCACTTTAGACTGAGTGAAAGCGCGATGCACGTCGTCTCACGCACATACGGTTAAACGTCGATGCTGAAAGCCTGACGCAGGCAGAGGGCTGATTCTGAAGGGATGTCCTCCCGACTGATCTCGTTTCCTTCCAGTCGCAGCGTTTGCAGCTTGGAGAAGTTTGTTACGTCCACAACGGTGCAGAAACTCCCCACGGTGAACTCTACAACCAGAAAACACAATTACCGTATTTTTTGTACTATAAGACCTTTAATTTTCTCCAAAATCGACAGTGAGCCTTATAGTCAGGTGCGCCTCATGTATTAATTCTGGTTGTGCTTACTGACCTAGAACATATTTTACGTGGTTATTGTGAATGAGTTGAATAAAGTTTGACTCATCTGACTGTTTTGTTTCGCTTAATGCGTATGAAGTATGAAAACAGACCCATTCATTGATATTGCACCTTATAATCCGGTGTACCTTATAATCCGAAAAATATGGTAAAGTTCATTAATGTATTTCACTATGTATACACTGAAATCACAATAAGTCTTCTTGGATGACCCCAGTCCAACTAATTCAAATGTCTAACAACTTCTTTATTGTTCTAATTTTGACAGGAAACACACTAAGAGGATGACCTAGACAATTCTGAAGTGATGTTCTGTGAAATACTCATCAGGGGTTAGTTCTTCATCTGCCAGGAAAATATGGAACAACCACTCCTGGAGGATGTTCTTTCAATGATTTAATTTTGTAGAAATAAATCATTGACAGGTCACAAAGCTATCATTGCTTTTTGTTTTATTTCAACCTTTTTGCATTTAGAAACAATAAAAAATACATAATGGTTGTAGTCAGTCACAATTACATTTTTAGACTGAGTCGATGAAAATAATATTATACTATAGGAATCATTTAAAAAACAAGGCACCATTAGTACTCTGTTTCTCCTCTGCTTTTAGAACAACTTGACTTCTCTGAGGCATGGACCTAACGAACGACAAACTGCTCCTCATCAATCTGACACTTCCCAGATCAGTTTTGCAGGTTGGAGCCTCATCATTGACCATTTGCTTCAATTTCCACCAGAGATTTTCGACGTGATTGAGATAATGCAACTGAAGTTATATGTTTTTCTTAAAGGAAACCTTTCGCGTCCTTTGCCCAATTGTAAAATGTGTTATTATACTGAAAATGAAGCCATCACCAAACATCCTTTCCACTAAAGAAATAAGAAATGTGCCTAAAATAGCAGTTAACTTTGGTATTTATTGACGATTGCCATCTCCGCCGTGCTTTTACCTGACATAATTAATTAATAACTGAGGAAATTTACAAGTTTTCTTTTTTTTTACCCCAGAAGTCGATCTTCATGAATTTCTCTCTGGATGGTAATGATGGTTTAGTTTGACTTTTCTGTACTAGAATCTTGTAGGTGATTTCTTTCAGTTCAGTCACAGACACTGCGTCCAGTTTCTGGCCACTTGTTTTTCAAGACATTTTGTTTTTTGATTTCTATTTCCACGTTTTGAGGCCTTCCTTGGTTTATCAGCATGCTTCCTTTTTTACAAACTTCCTGTTTTGTTTGCATTTGGTTCAGATTTTAGAGTCACTTAACAGAAAAAAAACACATATTTTGCAACGTTTTTAATGATTTTTCTTATGAAGAAATTTCATAATCTTGTTCTTTCTTTCAATTAACATCTCCTGTGTTGGAGCCATGATTCATGTCAGCAGCTCTCCAAGAAGAGCACACTTATTTTAAATGAAGACTAATTAACATATTTAATCCAATGCAGGCTTTGTTTTTAGAACTGCAAACTAAACGATTCCATAACTTTTTCACTATTTGACAAAAACACCACTTGGACTGAATGTTTCTTTCTCTTTTGTTGTTTCTTGATGACTGAGGTTGTGGTTTTGAAAAATGATAGTTTAGTGGCATGTCAGATTTTTTTGGGAATCACCACTCCTCCAGGATTTGCGATTCCATATGTTTTCCACAGGTTATATTACACAAATGTGTGTGTGTGTGTGTGTGTGTGTGTGTGCTGGGCGTAGACCTTGTTGGTGCTGAGGCTGCTGATTGAATCAGTCCTACTGGTCTAGGGCCCTGTTTACACGACTGCGATCAGTGAAAACTGATCCCCCCCCCATTTCTATTAACACATTTACATGAAAACATTATAACTACCATCTTTGTTTACACACCAACAGTAGCATGGAAAAGATGTAATTCCCTCGCCACACCACTAGTTGGTGTTATGTTGTTTGACACTTGAAACTTTAAGTGCGAATGCATAATGCATTGGGGGCCGAGATGGTGTAGAGGCAGGGCAGCCGGCTTGGGACACGAAAGTCCCAGGTTCGATCCCCAGTCACTGCACATCACGTGGTGTCTCTGGGCAGCACACCTCATCCCCAAAATGCCCCCCGGGCGCCCCCAATAGCCGCCCACTGCACCACCTGGTGGTGGATGTGTTAAATGCAGAGACTAATTTTGCCATTGTATGGAAACATACAGTGCTGACATTGTGATGACATTATTATTATTATTATAAAAATGTTCTGCCTGAAAGCCGCTACAACGGTCGAGATGGCAGCGAATAAAGTATTTCTATGGACAGACGACGAGGTTCAGCTGTTGCTTAGGGTGAGCGGAGCTGTATGAGATCCGTCTTCGATGATTTAAGAGGTAGAAAATGAGCACTGTGTTGGAGAGCCATAGTTAGATTTATAAGAGTCAATACTCTAGTATACGCCATTGTTGATAGTTTCTTCTTCTGTGGATTGTAGGAAGCCGTTATGTTTTGTGTCATACTACCCATGAGCCAGGGATTCCACGACAGAAAAGATCTATTTTTGTTTGTTTACACGACAACAGACACAGGGAAACTTTTTGAACAATTGCACTCTGGATCCCGTTCTCAAATTGTGCCGCTGTCAGAGAAAACGTTTGCTGTTTTCGTGTAAATGAACAGTACAAACGCAACGAAACTCTTCCATTTTCACCGGAAATGGTTTTCGTGTAAACAGGGCCTAGGTCTATTCTTTCATAATAACTTTATGCGCCCATCCTACCTTTAATCTGATTGGCTTGCAAGTAAAGGTGCTTCAGCGTGGTGCTGACAGGCGGGATTCTCTCCAGTTTGTTGTAGCTCAGGTCCAGCTCCACCAGTCCTGTCACATTGAAAGTGTTGGGGGGGATTCCCTTGTCTGTCAGCTGATTGTGGGCCATCCTGACATACTGCAGCTGAGCTAACCCGCTCAGGAAACCTTCAGGCAGAGAGTTGATGGAGTTCGACTCCAGGTAGAACTGGTGCAGATGTTCAGGCAGATCATCTGGAATCTGATCAAGTCATAAAAGATATATTTTGCCAAATGATAATGAGTGCTTCCGAATTTGACATTAGCAAGCACACACAATAAATACGGCTTATGCACCTTTGTCAGCTTGTTGCCACTGATGTCAAGCAGAGTGAGGGACCTGAGACCTTTAAGTGATGTTCCCATTTCTGTGATGGCGTTGTCATGAAGATGGAGGAGAGTGAGGTTATCCATTCCCTGTAGATCTGCAGGTGTTACCTAGACAACAGTAGTTTTGATTTACAAGTGTAATAACTTTCTTGGTGTAAAGCAAAAGCAGAAGAGCGAAAAATAACACTGAATAGCTGTGCATGAAACTGAAGCAGCTCGAAACTCTTTTACCTTTTCAATCTTGTTGTTGTTGATTCTCAGGTCTCGCAGGGAGCGAGGAAGGCTTGGAGGAATGCTGCTCAAGTTGTTGTGTTGTAGATATAAGCGTTCCAGTCCCTCCAACTTCAAAAATATCTATTAAGAAAAGAAAAAAAAAAAGCTTTAAAAAAAATTGCATTCAAGCTTAAAATACAACTTTTGCTTTCTTGCTTTTCCACGTTTCTTTTGGGATTCACATGAAGAAGAACAACATTAGAAACATTTCTCTAGAATATGTCGGTTTGCACCAGGGCTTAATTTGTAAACTGATTGATGCCGGAACGCATCTGGAGTTCTCTGGAGTATTCTTCCAGAAAATTTTGAATATAGTAGATGTGATTTCTTGCATTTTGGTGTATTTTAACAGGTTATTAAACATCTACGTGTACCTACATCTACATTTGTAAACATTCCTTTTCTGTTGTCAATAACCCCCCCCCCCCCATCACTTGACGGTTCCGAACTAGACTCTTTTCCGCTGAATTCACTGTCCTGTTTGTTGTTATCCGACACCACATGTGAAACCTCCAGGGGCCCCCATCCGTCTGTTCATGGCGGCCTCATGTGAGCTCCTGCCTGCGTACGACTGCCTGGTTAGCCTTCAAGAGGCTCGTATGTGACATTAAGAAGCTCGCAAGTGGCTGTTGTGTTTAAAATTAGTGTTTTTGTAATTATTTTCAGTTTACACATCCACTATAAGTTTTATTCATTCAAGGTAGTCATATTTGTTCATAACTTTATTATTAGTAAGCCTGAGAGTTACCGCATCCAAGCAAATAGTTACCGGAACGCACCCTGTCAAAATAAGAGAGTTCCCGGCACCTCAAACTAAGCACTGGTTTGTACTGTGAGGGAACTCTGAACATAGCTGTGGTCATGCAATAAATTGTGTGCAGAGACATTTAAAAAGTAAAACAAAAAATGTTCTTGTTTATAACAGGCCAAACATCTTGCAGCAGCATTTTGCAAGCTAACTGATGGATGGAGAGCAGCTTTTAAATGGGTCAGAGTGTTTTTGATGTGATTAGATTGTTCACTAAGGTGCTAGAAAAGTTTTTGGCCCAACATATATAACAGACTTCCTGGATTTTTTAAAAAGGTTTTGCTGCTTTAGATTCACTACAGTCTATTTCAAGAAGTATTATCTTTTCCTTCTGTCAGGCAACAATGATTCTGCACATATGGGCATGTGTGTGTGAGTTGGGTGGAGGCGGGGTGGGTATTTGTTTGTTTGTTTGTCTGCAGCATTAGCAAAATATTTCATGAACCAGTTGATGGATTTTAATAAAATTCTCTTAAAATAATAACAGGATGTACATCCAAAGCTGATAACTTTTGAACTCAATCCAATTCAAAATGGCCACCGCATCTAAGTAACCTTAGCAAACACATCAATGGTTGTGACTCAGTCAGCTAACATTGGATGTGCTAGCGGCTGAGAGTCATCCACAACGTGTTTTGAGCACTGACTTATCCTAAGGGATCTATTCTGAGCCTGGCCACCCTCTGAAAGACGCTCATTTCATCAATTTATTACCAAGATCTCATTCTTTTCACTCATGATCAGTGCCTCATGCCCATAGATGAGCGTTGGAATGGAAACAAACAAGTAAACTGAGAGCTTTGCTTTTCAGTTCAGCTCCTTCTTTACCACAGCAGATCGAAGCAACGCCCTCATTACAGACGAGGCCCCAGTTTCTCGTTCCATCCTAATATCACTCAAGAACAAGATTCCCAAACACTTGAACTCCTCAGCTTGTGGCGGAGACTCACTTCCAAAGCAGAGGGAGCTTGCCTCTTTTTTTTTCCGAGTTAAGAAGCGTGACCTCAGACATAGAGAAGCTGACACTCAACCCTACTGCTTCACATGCAGCTGCAAGCCACTCCAGCTGATGGTCAGGCTCTGAAGGCATCAACAGAACCACATCATCTCCAAAAAGCAGAGACAAGACTCTGAGGTTTCCAAACCAGACATCTTCTTTTCTGCAAATGCTTCTTGAGTTCCTGTCCATTCTCCTTCTTAATTTTCTTTTAGTTTTTCCCTCTTCAGGGGTCGCCACAGTGAGTCATCCTCCTCCATCTCTGTCCTCTGCATCCTCTGTCCTCACTCCAACTCCATGTCCTCTCTAACTGCATCCATAGATCTCCTCTTTGTCTTTTTCCTGGCATCTGCATTTCTAACATCCTTCTACCAGTATACCCACTGTCCCTCCTCTGGACATGTCCAAACCATCTCAGTCTGGTCTCTCTAACTTTATCTCCCAGTTGTTCAACCTGTGCTGTACCTCTGATGATCTCCTTTCTAATCTTATCCATCCTTGTCACTCCTAAGGAGAACCTGAACATCTTCATTTCTGCCACTTCCAGTTTGTTCTCTTGTCTTTTTGTCAATGTCCCTGTCTCCAGACCATAAATGGTAAATGGACTGCATATAGTGCCTTTCTATCTTATCAAGATACTCAAGCGCTTTACCCTACAATCTGTGCCCTCATTTACCCGTTCATACAGACTCTATTACCGGTACATTTCTACAAAGCTAATCTGAATCTGTAGTGATTAATCAGTGCTTTTAGATCACATTCATACACCGATGGGACACACATCGGAGGCAATGAGGGGTTCAGTGTCTTACTCAGGGACACTTTGGCATGTGATTGCTGGTTCAGTCAAACCCCCAGCTCTCTCATTGGAGGACGACTGCTCTAACCATTCAGCCACAGCCACCCTACCATACAACATAGCTGGTCTCACCACTGTCTTGTACATTTTTCCTTTGACCTTTGCTGACACCCTTTTGTCACAAATCACTCTTGAAACTTTTCTCCATCCACTCCATCCTGCCTGGACTCTCTTTTTCACCTTTTTACCACACTCTCCTTGTTCCTGGACAGTTGATCTGAAGTACTTGAAGTCCTGCACCTTTGTGACCTCTGCTCCTTGTAGCCTCACTGTTCCACCGGCCTCCCTCTCATTCACACACATGTACTCTGTCTCATTCACACACATGTACTCTGTCTCATTCACACACATGCACTCTGTCTTACTACGGCTAACTTTCATTCCCCTGGAGTAAATGCATTGGTCTTAGCCAACACATAAATGGTTCTGACAATTTTACAGATATTGAGATGCTGTGATAGTAGTTGAGAGTCATCCTCATGAGATTTGACGTGAGATTGCACATAACGCCATTTACAAGGTTTTACCAAAATGACAGCATAAGAAGATCTTTGTTTAATATTATGCCATGAATGGCATCAACTGATATAGTATACATTTCCTTAAGGAATGCTATGCCTTAAAGATCCAATATTAATGTATTTGAGCATTTATACGGTTCGTATTGTCAAAAGGACCACATTTATGTTACCTTTTGGTCCACGGCATCAGATGTCAGCTGATTGTGATGCAAGAAGAGCCACACCAGGTTGGTTGCATTGCTCAGGGCTGATTCGGGCAGAGCCGTGATGGCATTGTTTTGTAGGTACAGGTACTTGATGCGGGAGGGGATGGATGGCATAGCTGTTAGGCCCCGCCCATCGCAGTACATGGCAACAGGGAAAGTGGGGGGGCAGTCGCACTCATCCGGACAGGTGTCTCCTGTGGAGTTCGCCTGCAGGGAGCCATAATATTGTTCCTGGAAGTGTCGATGAAATAACCAGCCCAAAGGGTCCTGTCCATACGAGAGAGGAAGCAGTGCACACAAAAACAGCACAACCTCCAAACGTGGCTTCATTTTAAAGCAACTCTTCAATGGTGTCTAACAAAAAAAAAAAAAGACAAAACACAAAGAAGTTTAAGGTAAAAAATAGTCTAAATGTAAAAATTTGTTTTAATTTACAGATGGAAAAGGGTTTGAAACTGTCACATATTAGATTAATTAATTAAAAAACCAGTTCCTTCAAGAATTTGAGGATTTTTTAAAAACATGAAATAAGATAAAAACATGTCCAAATATAATTGTGGAGAAGAAGTTATTGTTTGTTACAAGCTCCCCTGCTGAGGTTTAATGAACAGTCAAGGTTCGGACTTTGTTTTAGGAATGCACATTCCTGGCTTCCCAGGGAAGCTGGACAGAAACAAAAGGAAAACTTTGTCTGAAATTCCATTGTTTTCCAAACTTTGCCTAAAAATGTGTGAAAATGTGAAAAACACATTTTCTGTTTTGTGCAATTTAATCTTCAAATTCTTCTGGTTCATCCAGATCCAATCATTAATCCATTTTTTTTTTCCAGAATCCAAACAATTTTTTTTCTTAAATTATTACATATCTTCTTAAATCCTTTCTCTTAACTTATCTTGAGCATCAAACATAATTTGGTTGTGATGTGTGTCCATGTGCATGAGCATGTGTGTGCAGAAATGTGCAGAATATATTGTTTTATTTAATGTTATTTAAAAAAAAAATCTCCAAAAACTTTATTTATCTCCGTTAAAAGCCTCATAAACACACCAACACACATAAACACACTGTCTTACCTGATCAGACAGACCGGCCTTCCTTGTCTCTGCTCTTTCAGGAATGAAAGGGGACCCTGACAAACACAGTACAAATGTATCCCCCCCCCCCCACCCTCCCCATTATGCCAGCCCTCACTCCACCCCTCTGTCTGTTGTGCATCTGTTTGTACTTCCAATCTGTTTGTCCAATCGCCTGCACCCCTATTGTGTTCATGTGTCTTGCTGTGACCCCACATGTGAGACTCAGTGAGTGTGAAGGATTGTGCCCCCGCCCCAACGTGTCCCTTTTCTACCTGAACCCTGCTGCTTTCTAACCCTGGGCAGACCTTTGACTCGTCAGATGTTTTTATCGTCCTTTTCTTGGTGGAACAGGTTGTTAGAGCATCTTAGACGGTGAACGGAAACACTGAGCCTGACATTAAAGCTCCCTTTTTCCTTCATCACAATAATTAAACTGATGCTGGGGGCTCTTTTAAAAATCATGGCAACTGAAAGATTATCTTGCAAAAATAATACGACTGAAAATACAAAAGAGTTTCTTTAGAAAGACTATAATCTTCATTGTGCGCTTTAATTAAGGACAATGATTGAAGAAGAAATAATAAACAGAAAAAACTAACAAAAGAGTAATAGATATTTGAAGAAAGAAGAAACAACCTTTCTAAATCTACAGATGGACTTTTGCTGATAACAAATATCTCTTGGAATTTTTATGTAAATGCAGATAAAAACACAACCCAAATTATTTTAATTCCTCTTTAGGACGTGCTTATGGGCAAAGGCAAGAGGAAAAAATGGCTTTTTAGATGTACACATTCACTGAATAAAACAGTGGCACTACTTGAATTGTAAAAACAAATGCTTTTTTTATGTTGTTTTATCTAAATCTGATTGCATCAGAATTTTGTTTACACTATTGGAGGACATATTAAATTCCTGCATGCAGATACTAATGGTGAGCAGATTGTAATTTTGAAGCGGAAACTCAGCACATTTTACTGAAACCCAAAGATTAGAATAAACTGATTAAATGATGCTTCAGGCAAAATAAAGCCACATTCCAGGCATTTATTAGGAAAGTGACACAACAGCTTTTATTCTCCTGCAGACAGGTCGATGGCGATCATTTTCCACCTTAAGTCCACACCATCGTGTTTTATTGAGTCTATTGCTGCTGCCTCATGACCAGGCTGTTGTTGTAAATGAGTCAACCAACTTATCTAAATAAAGGTTAAATAAAGATGCTGTAGCAGATTTGTCAACATGGAACTGTAGATACAATTCAATTCAGCTTATTTTTTATATAGCACCAAGTCACAGCAGAAGTCGTCTCATGCACTGCACAAAAAAATTCACATAGAAATTAGTTAATAACATTATTTATCTAAAGAGCCAGCAGATTGCTTCGAGTTTTCAGTTCATCACAGTCTCCCATCCTAAGTGAGCACAGATGAAACAGTGGAAAGGAAAAACTCCCTCATGATGAAGAAACCTCCAGCAGAACCAGGCCCAGGACAAGCGGCCATCTGCTTCGACTGGCTGGGTTTGAGAGGAACAGGAAGGAGAAACAGATACACAATGGCAGATCCACCAGCAGAAACAGGCCCAGGACAAGCGGCCATCCACCCTGACCGGCCAGACCTGAGAGGACAGGACGGAGAAACGAACACACAATGGCAGGTCCAGGACAGAGGCCATCAGATTATTCTCTAGGAGGAGATAAAAACACAGAATCATGTTAGGAAAGAATAACTACAAACTATTAATTGATGAAATGAGGGCAGTTTGTCCTCCAGTAGGCTAAGGTAGCAGCAAAGGATAAGGAATAGGTCAGAAAACCAAGCCGACTAACTATAGGATTTATTAAAAAGGAAAGTCTTAAGCCCAGTCTTAAAGCTGGACAATGTGTCAGTCATATAAATTGGGAGTTGGTTCCACAAGAGAGGAGCCTGATAACTGAAAGATCTTCCTCCCATTCTGCTTTTGGAAACTCTAGGCACCGTGAGTAAACCTGTAGTCTGAGAGCAAAGTGCTCTGTTAGGAAAACATGGAACAATAAAATCTGTAATATAAGATGGAGCTAGGTTGTTGAGAACTTTGTAGGTTAGAAGTAAAATTTTGAATTCAATTCTGGACTTGACAGGGAGCCAATGGAGAGAAGCTAAAACTGGAGAGATACGATCTCTCCCACTAACTCCAGTTAAGATTCTGGCAGCAGCATTTTGGATCAACTGAAAACTTTTTAAAGAATTATTCGGACAGTCAAATAACAAACTATTGCAATAGTCCAGTCTAGATGTGACAAATGCATAAACCAGATTTTCTGCATCATTTTTAGATAAGATGTTTCTAATTTTAGCGATATTACCCAAGTGGAAGAAGGCAGTTCTAGTTATGTTTTTAATGTGGGGGATAAAAACATGTCCTGATCAAAATTAACACTAAGATTTTTAACATTAAAGCTGGAGGCCAGATTCCAAGGAGGGCAAAAGACTGAAAATTTTATCTTAAGATGCTCAGGTCCAAAAACCAAAACGTGTGTTCAAAAGCAGAAAATTTCGGATCATCCAGGTTTTTATGTCTTTAAGACTTGCTTGTTGTCTATGTAAGTGATTGGATTTATTGGGTTTCATGGACAAATATAACTGTGTGTCATCAGCATAACAATGAAAATTTATCCCATGTTGTTTAATAACTTTACATAATGAAAGCATATACTGCATAAGGTAAAGAGTATTGGTCCAAGCACTGAACCCTGAGGAACTCCATGACTAACTTTGGTGTAAGAAGAGGATTCATTATTAACACTATTAACAATTAATTCATTTGGTGTTTTGAACCAGTTTGGCATGACTGTCTCAGCGGAGTTGACGAGGTAGAGGGTGGGCCCCAGAGGCCTTCTTAGCACCCCCCACTGGGGAGTATGTTGATTGTGGGAATCAGTTTTGTTTAGTGGCTTCTCAGATTGAGGAAGTCCTTTGGATGAAGGATGAAACGTCTTGGCAAAAAAAAAGAAGCTGTCCAGATGACCTGACTGAACATTGTTGAATTTTATACCTGGATTATTGAGCATGAAGTTTGGAGTTTATTATTAACATTTTCAAAATGGAATCTATCAGATAAATGTGGTTTAAACCAATTTAGTAATTAATCTGAAGGGAAGAAAATACAAAATAATAGCAGATTAAATGAATGTATGAAAAGAAAACATACAAATATTTCAAATACAATTAGATATAGATTTTTTTATTTATTTTAAGACAGAGAGCACATTTGATGATATTTAGGATCGTTTTTATGAATTGAAATGAAATGTATGTGGAGCACTTCAAAGCTTTGAAGTGGGATGAATCAAACTTTCTCCGTTTTTCCTCAACAATCTTACATCTTGTTGAGTTAAATGAAAACATGTGTGGCCGTCCTCTCAAGCTGTACGTCTGCTTTGAATGTGGGCCTCTTCCTGCCTCTGAATCTGCTTTTGAACTGCACCAAGCTCCATCTGGATCAATGGTTTTATGCTCACTTTTATATTTAATTATTTGTCAAAAAGTCACAAGTTTTTATACCTGGGTTTTTTTTTTTTTTGGTTCCCTTTTTTGTTTCTGCGTGTCTATTTGTAATTTGTTCTCTTGGGATGACCTACCTATATTCTGTCACAAGGGAAATGGTGCAAATGAAAGTTTACTATAAAAACTGGGAAAAGCCTTTAACCTCTACACGAGCACACAGTTTGTCAGGATGTCTGTGCTTGAGAGTTTTATAAGACGGCTCAGTGACATCTGGAAAATCACTGACATCTTCCTTTTTCAGGGATTATGGTGAGCAAATGGCCTCAACTTGTCCTCATGCACAACTCAGCAATTTGAACGTTTGACAAAGAATCATTGATCGATTTCTTTTATGGTGCTCCTTTAATGTCAGTTTAGATTTATCCCTGGTTTGGGATTCCTTGTGTTCGGTTGTTTCTCAGTGATTCCCTCATCATCGGTCAGTTTCCCCCTCAGTCATTCTCGTCTTCAGTCGACCACTCACACGTGCTCCTCATGCCCATTAGTCCCATCTGTTTAGGAGTAATTATTCCTTCATGCCTACTTACAACACCTGGCAAAAATTATGGACCACCACTCTTGGAGGTGTTCATTCAATTGTTTTAATAAAAATATATATATATATATATTTAAATCACACACATGCACACGTCTTTGTGCAAGATAGCTCACTGAGGCAACCTCTAAAAAAGGCATCAGTCAATGGGGAAAATAAAATAACTTTTAAGCAATATAAAAACTAGAAAACAGTTTCCTCAAATGATAGTTATGATAATTTTTTTAATGATGTAAAGGTACAGATGGGGCATTCCAGACATTAAAAAAATGTTTTTTTAGAAGGTACATATTGAAATTAAAGCATATGAGATGTGTTTGCTAATGGGGGAGGGCCTCATAAGTGTCCCTATGTACCACATTTTATGTTAGAAACATTTTTACACAACGCCATTGTGATGTTTAGTTTGATGTGACTTCACTGTGATGTAAAGTATCAAGAACAAAAGGGTGCAAATTTGTGCCTAATGTCTTTTACTTTTGTTCCCAGTAAAAGCTGAATGAGATAAAGACAGGATTTTGACTCACATGAGACCAACTCTATATTGCATGTGACACCAAGGGTTAAGTCTCTTGAAAGCATTTTGAGACTTGACTCTGAATTTGCTGTGGTACCTTTTTGAAACACTTCTTATAGTGTAAAATATGTTGCCAGGTAGAGGAGAAAAAGGGCTCTTTTTGCCGTGAAAAGTTGATTTCAGTCCCTCAAGACTAAAACTGAACAGCTCTGAATGGAAATAAAGAATGTGCCATATTTCTTCAGCACCTCTTTGAATGTGGAGTTTATTTTATTAATGCAAGTAAGACACAGACGAAAATGCAGCTCATTAAAAGTCTGAATCAGTACGCTTTGAAGATGAGAATGACTTGGTCTTCTGGGTGTAGTTTTGATTTATTTCATAAACTACAATGAAATTAGTAAAAATCCACAACTCAGCTTCAAGTACTGCATGCA